AGAATCGAACCTGGGACCCTTGAGTCTGCAGGCCGATGCTCTATCCACTGAGCCAAACCGGTTAGGGCAGGAGTTGAGTTTCTTGGACTCGCCATGTTAGATGGCCGGAAGGCCTCATGGCGCTGAAGAAATTGTTTTTGGAGACCAGGACCCCCCTCCATTCTCTCCAATGAGCTCTTTGATGGGTCAGAAATGTGGGGCTTAGGTGCTCCTTCAACCCCAACGACTTCAGGAACTTAAGGCCAATGAACAAAGCTTTCTGGATGTTTCGAGGCCGGAACCTTCTGGAAGTCGCCTGGGTGCAGCTGTTGGCTCTCACATTAGCTTGTCCCACGTGCCCCTGTTCACTGGGAGGGGGCCCCCTCCCCAGGGGCCTTCCTTGCTGCCCACATGGGGGTCAGCAGGAAGCAGGCTATCCCTGAGGAAGAGCATTGAGGTGCTGAGAGAAGTCAGGGGGACTGCTTTCTGGGGAGATGTTGTTTGTTTCAGGAAATCTGTAGCATCGTCCCAGTCTTCAGAAAGACAAAGAAAACTGCTGTGACTTAAACGTTGGCTCTGTCCCTGGTCTTCCCCCATCGGACCCATTCCACCCTGTCAGATGCCAATAGGGCCTGACAAGCCGGCTCCCACATAACTGGTCACCCATCACTCAGGCTGTCGCTGTCGCAAGCATCTATATTCGTCACCTCATCTTGGGGACAAGAATGCAAAGTTTGTTATCGAGAAAGACGGTATTCTAAGAGCACAATTTACAGTTGGCAAAACATAAATAGGACTTTTTTTTTTCCTGAGAAATGTAACTTAATTTTTCAGTGTGGGATTCATTTCAGCATCGTTAACTCAATGCTTCTCAGACGAAACCCATTAGGGATCAATCATTCTCTCTCTACCACAGGGAACGGCAATAACGTTGTCATTCTTTCCACTTTGGGTTTTATTAGTATCCGGTCATTGATTCCCTGTCCACTTACTTAACCTCAGCTTCCCATCTGCTTTGACATCTAAATGACAATACCGTGGAAGTTGTATTTCTTTGTCAGTAACTCTTAGAATTCAGTTGCAGGCTGAGAAAAGCCAAGGGGCGGGGGGAGGGGAAAAAAGGTGAATGGTTTATTCTGAGTCTACTTTAAAAGGAGGAAAGAGCCCTAGCCAGTTTGGCTCAGTGGATAGAGCGTCAGCCTGCAGACTCAAGGGTCCTGGGTTCGATTCCGGTCAAGGGCATGTACCTTGGTTGCGGGCACATCCCCAGTAGGGAGTGTGCAGGAGGCAGCTGATCGATGTTTCTCTCATCGATGTTTCTAACTCTCCATCCCTCTCCCTTCCTCTCTGTAAAAAATCAATAAAATATATATATAAAAATAAAAAAAATAAAAGGAGGAAAGCGCATCACAGACAGGACAGGACGTTTCTCTGCAGACGATGGAGGCTTTGGTAACGGGACAGACCCTGGAGCTCTGTCCCCACAGGCAGGCGCACAGCGTGGCATCTGGGCGTTGGAAATTGAGGAGAGGGAAGCGGAGAATGGAACATTCCAGAACGCGGACTCGGGCAGTACGTGGGCAGAAACAGAGCCGCGTTCCGGCCGTCACCTCGGGCTCGGAAACCTCACTGTCACCCTTAGACATGTCTGTTAAAAGTCATGTTGATGTGAAGAATCACTCAGCCATTCATTTGTCCCTCCTCACGGGAGGGATCAGGCCTTGGGTTGTTGAGGGTGTGCATGGAAGTCATTGGCCAGCTCCGTGAAGCCAGTCCCGAATGGCCACCATGTCACCTCCTCAGGGCTGGTGAGAATGAGGTGATTGGGGCCAGTTTGTCTTGGAGAGAGATACATGTCAGAAGATCCCCCTGCCAGCAAACATCACCATCAACAACCAAGCTGTGTGGCTAGAACTGTGCCTGACTTCATGAGTTCCCCAGTCCTCAGATGCTAGAAGGTGGACTTGAGCCACGCTGACCCCCAGGCCTGGCGCATTTGGCATCAGCGGTGTGCCCTCCCTCCGTACCATTGGCTGGGCTGTCTCTAAGTGGAGTACAAATTCATTGTGGTGTAGCGTGGAGAGGAAATGGTAGGGCCCACTCATGGAATGGCTATCGTCAGAGAGAGGTGTGTGTGGAGGGTTTGCGGCAGGAATTGAATTTGAAAGGGAGTTTAGGAGCACTTTAAAAAATTTATGTGTTGGTTTGAGAGAAAAACAGCGATTTGTCATTCCACTTATTGACCCATTCATTGGTGGGCTCTTGCATGTGTGTCCTGACTGGGGAATCAAACCCACAACGTTGGCACATCGGGACGACGCTCTAACCAATGGGCTACCCAGCCAGGGCCTGGGAGCATTTTTCATGACATTTCATTCTGCTTAAGGGACCATTTGAGCAAGAATGGATTTACCTCTTTCTTACAGAAATTTCCTACAGAAATTTCAATCATTGTACTGTTAATATTTGGCTCTGTTGACTCATGAGTTTGCCGACCACGACCCTGGGTGATCTGGGACCACTTCAGGGATTCTTTTTTTTTAATATATTTTATTGATTTTTTTACAGAGAGGAAGGGAGAGGGATAGAGAGTTAGAAACATCCATCAGCTGCCTCCTGCACACCCCCTACTGGGAATGTGCCCGCAACCAAGGTACATGCCCTGGACTGGAATCGAACCTGGGACCATTCAGTCTGCAGTCCCACGCTCTATCCATTGAGCCAAACTTGTTAGGGCTACTCCAGGCATTCTGATCCCATGAAGAGAATGGTCCCGCAACCCCCGCTGGCCTGAAGAAGGCGCTATTTCCCAGGGAAAGGAGTGAAGTGCCCCCAGAAACGCATAGGGCCAGAGTGGGGCGAGAGAGCACACGCTGCATCTTCCTCTGCCTCTGTGGGGTGGAAGCGGAGCTTTCTGTGGAAGGTAACTTTCCGCATCTCTTTCCGGGGGTCAGGCCGGCAAGAGAAGGCTTTGTTTGACTTGCTGATCTTGTGACAAAGCCTTGGTGCCCAGTGGAGCTTCCTGTCTTTGCAGACTGGCTATCTGGGGGGGGATTTTCTCCCTCAGGAGGCTCCGGGGAAGGCTCTAAAAAGAGACAGCATGGTTGCTTATTGGGGAGAAGTGTGCACAGATGTCAGCTGGCAAGGGCGTCCGAGACAATGTGATTGCAGGCGCTACAGAGGCCTGGATGTGGGTTCTTCTCTGCCGTGCGGGCCATCCAGGGTCCTAGGTCCCCGCTAGAGAGGGCTCCACTGGGAGGTGGAACCCGTGCAAGTGTGCAAACAGGTCGCCGGGGATCTTGTGAGTTTGCTGAATGCTGGCGAGGGTAAGCTCCAGGGCAGGGCAAAGTCTGTCCTACCAGTTTTCACGCCGAGATATAAGAGGCACAAATCTGGAAAACACACAAATTGAGGAATCCATACGGCCGCTGTCTTTTGTCAAAAACAGTTCTCAGGTCAGGTCTGCTTTGGGGCAGGTATTTCTAGGAGACGTGCCCCCGGTGAATGGAAGGGGTGTGGATTTCCAGGGTGTGCCTGGAGTGAGGAGAGAAGTATATTCATGCCTGGCCTGGAAGGCACTCAGGGGCTCAACTAGCCACTAGGTTAGGTAACTCATGTATCACATCCCTTGACTACATTTTATTTTTCAGTCTCTTTTATATATATACTAGAAGATTCCTGCAAGAATAGGGCTTCCTCAGGCCTATTCCTGCAAGAATAGGGCTTCCTGCTTCTCTCCCTTCTCCGCCACTCTGCAGCACTTGGCTTCCTTCTATGCTGTCTTCCATCTTCACTCTGCACCTGCGTATGCAAATTAGCCACCATCTTTGTTGGGTTAATTTGCATGCTTGCTCTGATTGGCTGGTGGGCATAGCAGAGGGATGGTCAATTTGCATGTTTCTCTTTTATTAGTGTAGATCATCTCAGCTCAATCTTCTAATAACCCTCAAGGGTCCCCTGGCGTCCACTTCATTTTACAGAAACGGGCCGGGCCTGGCAAAATCAGATGATGTGTCCCAAGGTTTATTGGATCTACCTCATCTCATGCAAAAATCCTGTATTTATACCGGACTCGACTACCCTTAGTAATGTTTTCTCTTCCATTTTTGGTGTAGTTTTTTTTTTCTTTAAGAAGAATATGGTGGGCCATATACAAGAGCTAGTTGCTGCTACTTCAAAGGAAACAAAGTTCCAAATTTCAGGATGTAATAACCACCATGGCCTGGCCTGGCGTGGCTCCGTGGTTGAGCATTGACCTATGAACCAGGAGGTCACGGTTCGATTCCCAGTCAGGGCACATGCCCGGGTTGCGGGCTCTGTCCCCAGTGGGGGGCGTGTAGGAGGCAGCTGATCCATGATTCTCTCTCATCATTGATGTTTCTATCTCTCTGTCCCTCTCCCTTCCTCTCTGAAATGAATAGAAATATATTTTAAAAAAAATAGCAACCATGGAAGATACGTTTTATCCCATCCAAGGAGCCCCGAATGTTTCAACTATAGCTGAGCAGCCCCAGACCAATATACACGTGTACTTTGAACTCATTGGAGAAGGAGTTCTCACGTGTGGGTGAGAAATGATGACAGGTGGTTTTAAGAAACCCGAAATCTTGGCCAACCAAATGAAAAACAGGCTTTTATTCTTAATAGGTAGTCTGTCTTTCGTCAAAGGAGGTCAAGGCCTTCCCTAGCCGTCTTTAATAGCAGTCAAGGTATTTATTTTAACATTTCGGTATATAAATTGGACATTGTTATTTTAACATGGGGACGTGTTAGAGGGAACGCCGAATCCAGGAGTCTGCCTGCCGGGTAAGGGCTGCTGAAAAGCTGGGCCCAGAACCCAGAACCCCCTGTAAGTGTTTGGTGTCGCGTCCCCTGGCCCCGAGGAGCAGGGACCTTATATTTCCGGGGAAAATGATAAGAACGTTCATTGAGTCCCTCTCCCGCGTTGAGTCTTTGTATAGCTCTGTGCAAGGCTTCTCGTCAGTCAAATAGCTAATGACTGTGCTTTTTAAAACTCCTAGCTGTCTGCCCAGTTGTTACCACACCCTCTGGCTCAGTGGGCAGCTTCTGCTCCAGGCAGTCCCAGGTGCTCTGTGGGTACCTTGGTGAGTACACTCGTCTGCTTTATACCTCCTTTCACGTAGTAATATCGGCTTTATCGCTAGTGTCTGTCTCCTGTGGGGGAAATGGCAGAGGCCACGTGGAAGCCTGAGACGCAGCCTTGTCGCTGATCCCTCGCAAAGGTGCCCCTGAATGTTGCAGTTAGCCGTCTTCTAGGAGACACACCCATGAATCGCTTGGAAATCCTATGATGGTGTGGTTGCCCTAGGTGATGGGATGGATTGTGGGGTGTATGAGATGTGTGTCCCAGGGGTCACAGAGTGATTCAAAATATTGACCCCCCCTGGCCCCCATGGAGGGATGCTCTCGGGAGGGCTGACCCATATGACCAGAATGTCCAGGGTCCCCTTTAGTATGTGTGTGTCTCTTATTTGTAGCTATGTCCTTATTCCTGGCACATAGTAGTTGCTCAATTAATGCAAAGGAGATTTTTTCCCCCCTCCCTTTCCTTTGAAGTTCTAGAGGGAGGCCTGCGGGAGAGTTATGCTGCTGCCCTTGTGTGTGACCTTCCTGTTGTCCTTTCTGGGTTGCATGAGAAATGGGTTGTCATGAGTCAAGACTGGGAGCATGCCACATTCTCACACGTAGCCCCGACCCTCAGAGCCAGTGCCACCTGTCGGGCTGGGGGTTACTGAAGCCAGAGGTCTCATTCCTTACTGATTTGGAGCATGAATCAATTCAGCCGGCTTTTCCCGGGTGCCTACTTCATGCGGGGCAATGAGACCACAGCAAAGACGGGATTGAGATGTTGCTGACACCGGAAAAACTCAGTGGCCCGAGGTGCCCTTGACCCGTGCTTAGAAAGAGAGGAAGTGGACCAGTAATGCTGGCCTCGGTTCACGCTGCATGTTTGAGGCTCTGAGAAGGTTTGGATTATATGGATTCTAATTGTGGGCAAAGGTCCCAGATAGGGACAAAAGAAATGTGTTGATTACCTGCATAGAAGTCTGATTCTCTGGCGTAATCTGCTTTGCAATTTATCATGCTTAACTTTGCTTCTTGAGAATCAAGGAAGAGGGTGACTTATTCACAGTGGCCTAAGCTGGGATTTCCTAAAACAAAAAACAAAACCAAACAAACAAAAACAGAAAACCTTAAAAACAAAACAAAACTTAATATATTGAGATTATACATTTATTTTTTCCCCCCAAAACGCCTCAGAGTGGCTAGCTAGAAGCTGCCACGTGAAAAATAAAAAGTTCTCTTTGGTGAGACACGTTGTATTGTATAGTCCATCTCTAAATGTGTGTTTTATTTCACTGTCTTATTAACTAAGGAGTGAACTGTCTGATCCCCCGCCCCCTCACCCCCAGTAGCTTTCTGGAAAAGAAAAGGGGAGGGAAGAAGAAAAACGTTCGTTAAACACCCCTTGGTCCTTAAGACACAGCCTCCTGGTCCTCCCCGCGTTGGTCGGTCGGTTGGGAAGGACCCAAGTAGCAATGCCATTTTTCTGGAAACCGGCTTGGAGAGACAGACCCTGGTCCTCTCCTCGAGCTGGCTGGTGTCAGAGCCCAAATCCGAATCCAGGTCTGGCCCCTTGCTCTCCACCACACTGCCCAGACCCCAAACTTTTCGTTTGTTTGGCCTTCCTGTCGCGTCCCCTCGGGAATCCTGCCCCTCAATGTAGTCGTGGTCTTACCTACGACTCTGCACCAATTTCCTTTTCCTCTCCTCCCCTAGGAAACAGGAGAGGCCTCCCAGGGCAGGGGCAGGGAGCGAGGCGGAGGCTGCACCCAGAGTCCCCCCCACACCCCGCTTCCAGGCCGCTGGGAAAACCCCGTAGACCCCTCTCGGCCCTTCCACGCGAGACTGCTGAGCAGTGGGGCCCTGCGTTTTATTTTATTTTCGTGTCTCTGTTCTTAGAAATAGTAATTGAGTAAAAATGTAAGTGAGCCGATGCCAGGCGGCAGGCGGCCAGGGTCAGGGTGAGTTTCTCCATGCTGCGTGCAGCCAGCCGTGCCAAGCAGCTCCAGGGCCATCGCTGTCACCTTGCGTGACCCTCCCCTCTTTCCAAGGAGCCGCTGGGAGCGGCTGGAGGCAGCGGGGGGCCCGGGGCACCTCATGCTTTTCTCACTCGCTCCAGCCTGGGGGTGCTGATCACGGCTGTGCTGGCCCCAGTGATGATGGGACCCGGGGTTTCCGAGACTTCCTCAGCCTTCAACACAGGATGGGATCGTTGTTTTTTTACATTTATTTTTATGGATTTCAGAGAGGAAGGCAGAGGGAGGGAGAGAGAGAAACATCAATGAGGAGAGAGAATCATGGATCGGCTGCCTCCTGCACGCCTCCTACTGGGGATCAAGACCACAGCCCAGGCATGTACCCTGACTGGGAATCGAACCGTGACCTCCTGGTTCATAGGTCAAGGCTCAACCACCACTAGCTGGGTGGATGCAATTGTTCTTGCTCCTCACAGGTCGTGTGGTTGCTGGAGCTTGTTTCTCTTGTTAAAGTCATTATCCCCTCCCTCCGCGCCCTCCTTCCCCCAGCTATTGGTTAGGATGTTAGTCGGCCTGAGAGGTTTTCTAATAAAACATAAAAATCCAGAAGATAAGCAACAGTCTGTCCAGGAATGAATGGATTAAGGGTCGTGAAAGCGATTTCAGGTTTGTTTGGGTGGGTTTTTTTCTCCACAAGAGGCTTTAAGGAGCTGGGGAAAGATTTAAAGATGGTGTTTCTCAGAGTATCTCCCAAGCCCAGCCGGATGGCTCAGTTGGTTGACTGTGCACTGAAAAGGTTGCGGGTTCGATTCCCAGTCAGGGCACCTACCTGGGTTGTAGGTTCAACCCCCAAATGGGGCACAGATGGAAGGTAACTGATTGATGTCTCTCTTTCGTTCTCCCTGCATGTCCTCAGGTGAGGATTAAAAAATATCTATACATATAAAAGCCTAAACGACTGTTAAACCTGATGACCAGCTGGTAGCTATGACATGTACTGACCATCAGGGGGCAGGTCCTCAATGCAGGAGCTTCCCCCTGGTGGTCAGTGCACTCCCACAGCCAACCTCCTGTGGTCCCTCCCTGTGGTTGGTCAACCTCCCTTGGCCCCTCCTCCTGGTTGGCCAACCACCTGTGTTCCCTCCCCCCTAGGCTGGGCGAGATGGCCCTGATTGCTGGCCAGGCCAAGGGACCTCACCTGTGCATGAATTCGTGCACCGGGCCTCTAGTAATAATATAAAAAGTGTCTTCTGGGGTGTTTTAGGAAGCAGATTCCCTGGCCTCTCCCAGACCTGCAGAGGGGGTGGGGCTGGGTTGGGCTGAGGCCAGCAATCTGCATATTTGAGTGGCATTTCGGGTCATTCCTGTGTCACTGAGTTTGTTGCTGCTCTGATTGGGTGGGTCCGTTCACTGCAGTCCCAGCCCAGAGGATTCAGATCCCACGGGGCCTCTACCACCCGCTGGTCCTGCAAGTGCGGGGCCCTCAATCCACAGCCCAGCCACGTCTCTCCCCGGACTGTCCATGTCCCCAGATGCACACAGATGTGGAGGTAGACTTGTGAATCACACGCACCACACCTGTTCACCCTGGAGGGGATGGTGGTGCGTGTGCAAGGAAGTCAGTTAGTCACACGGGGAGCGGGGTGGACGCCTAGTGTGGAAGCTGCCCCCAGGAGTGAATTCTCCCACTCAAAGTCCTTCACCTGGGCAACGCTGGAGTGAGGAGATTTTCGAAACCAGTGTGTAATGTGTACGCAACATCTATTTTATAATGTATAAACCGACGGCTAGAGTTTCACTCCCTGTCGACCTCTTCATGGCCTGAATCCTGTTCTGGGACATTCCATTGGGTGAGGCTCCAGCCAAGAGTGGGACGTAAACTCTACTCTCTTGTCCAAACTCAGCGTCGAGCCACTGCAGCTTTCGCTTTGGAGTTTTTCCTCTGCCAGAGGTTCAGGGCAGGTGAAAATCTGACCAGCTCCTCAGGAGAAGAGCTAGCGCTGAATGACTTGGTCTTTTCTCCTGTTTCCCTGATGCTATTGTGGAACCATCCAGAACAGCGGCTCTCTAACTGCTCTAGCGCGTTTCTGGCCATCAAATGATTAGAGAAATGCCCATGTCTGCAAGACAGGCCATGTTGCTAAGCAGCCCCCATACCTGTTGAAGTAGGAAAAGAAGGACGGAGGGTGTGAATTCCTGCTGCCCAACCAACAAGCCTTCAATGAAAAGAGTCGACCTTGACGATGAGTTGAGAGTCTTAAGATCAATGTCAAATATAGGCAGAGCTCATGGGAAGACAGAGGTCAAGAGAAGACCTTCCTACGGCAGATGAGTTCATTGAAAAGTATTTGTGGCTGTGTGTCTGCCATGCCTTAGGCACCCATCTGGGCACTAGTGATACCATCAGTGAATGGAACAGCCCAGAACTTTGCCTTGAGGAGCTCCCCAGGCTAGAGGGGGAAGATGGACAATGCATTGAAAAGATAAGGGATGGTAGGATTGGAGAACTGTTATGGGGAGAACAGAAGAGCAGGGGTGGGGATGGGGAAGTGAATTGCAATTTCAAATAAGCTGGCCGAGCCCAGCCGGTGTGGCTCAATGGTTGAGCGTCGACCTATGAACCAGGAGGTCACGGTTCAATTCCCGGTCAAGGGCACGTGCCAATCTCCAGTAGCGGGCGTGCAGGAGGCAGCAGATCGGTGATTCTCTCTCATCATTGATGTTTCTCTCTCTCTCTCCTTTTCCCTTCCTCTCTCTGAAGTCAATAAAAATGTCCCTTTAAAAATAAATAGGGTCAGCTTTAGCTCAAGCGGTTACTTCGGCCTCTGCTTGTTGCGGACACACAAAATAAAAAAATAAGCTGGCGTGGGGAGGGGACGGGGGGGGGTCATCAAGAGGGTGGCATTTGAGCAGAGACTCGTAGGAGGTCAGAGAACAGTCCGGGGCTCTCTGGGGAAGAGCATTTCTGGCCAAGGGGACAGCTGGTCCCGTTGCTGATGTGTTCCAGCATTATCAGAAGTGTCCTGGGAGATGAGATTAGAGAAATCACGACGGACAGCTCGTGTAGGGCCTTGGAGGCCATTGGCAAGGCTGGGAAGTTTCCTCTGATGGAAGGGGTGGGAGAAGGGTGGCGTTAGCCCAGGGGTCCGGGAGCCGGCTAAGTGGGGCACAGCGCCCCAGGAGAGCAAGGCGGCGGCAGAGCCAGTGCCCGGCCTGTGGAATTGGCCGCAGTGGCTGTTGTGGGGCCACCCGAGTGTGGATGCTCTCTCACTACTGTCCTCCTCTCGGCTGCGTTCCCAGGGGAAGCTGGACTGTTAATGGCAAATAATTTGGGAGGCAGGCTGCAGGGGCTTCTGGATGTAGAATATGTTTGGGGGGGATTGTTTTTCCGGAGTGAACGGAAAGCCACCCCCTTCCTTGCTGGCAGGAAGCTAGCTTTGCACCCTTCTGGGTATGAAAATAGCCTCCCGGGTCTCCCGTCTTGTGCCGACAAGTGTGGAAGGACAGCTGTTGGGTTTGGTTCTTGCTGTCACGCCTGGGCACAGCCATCGGCGACTCGGTGGCCAGGGACAGGTGGCACTAGGCTGAGAGGTGGCCACGCGCTGGCCTGGGAGGATGACAGACCACGTTGCGTGTATGGAGTGGAGAGTCGGGCTTAGAAGGGTCTCTGGATTGTCCAGCTGGGCCCGAAACGAGGTCAGAAGCCAAGGAATTTGCAAAACTATGCCTCTTATCAGTCAAAAAGCATTTCTGTTGGACCGGAGTTCGCTTTCTAATTTTTAAGTTTTGAACATCAAGGCTTGACCCTGGGAAGCTGCTATCATTGCTTCATCAATCTGGACCCGTGAGATCTGCCAGGAGATGGAGGGATAGAGCATCGACCCGTTTTGCAGGGGCCGGCAATTTAGCGAGGAGGTCAGGAGTCCAACCCAACAGACACAACCGAGAAGCCAGCGCCGTGCGGGTGCTCGGAAGGAAGGGGTCTGAGAGGTCAGAAGAAGAATTGCTCACTTTGGTCTAGAGAGGTCAAGGGAGGCTTCTCGGGGGAGGTGACATTTGCTGCTTGAAAGGCGACCTTTGAAAGTGTAGTTTGGCCGTGGTCCGGCAGCAAT